CTGAGTCTGAGTCTGCGATAGTCGGAAGTCTACCTGAGTGCAGAGTGCCTGGAGCTACCGGGCTGGGACTTGGGAGGATTCTCGACCTTGGAGTCTGGTCTCTACCTCTTTGGTCTGCTCTTGGCCTCTTGCTCTAGAGTCTAGAACTGGAACTGGAAGCACCGTAGGGCGGAAGAGGGAAGACGAAGAGTTTCTTTTTCTATTTTCCTGTTTTGGACTTTTCGTGATCATGTCTAATATGTAATAGTTTAATACCACAATACGTTATTTTTTTTCGCTTCATAATACCACAATATGTTATTGCTTATTATGGTATGGTCATAAGTTATGTATGGAATATGGATGTTCCGACTTCCGTGTTCGATCTTCCATGTATAATATAATATAAAATCATAATATAAATAATATTAGAAATATATACTTATAAAACTAAATCGTTTTTTTTGGTTAACTGATTTAGAAAATATGGTAACTGAAACCAAAACCTGAAATATACAAAAATTGAATAGAAATACCGAACATGACCGAAAAAACCAAATAGACCAAACCGATTAAACCAAAACCGAAATTTCAGTTCGGCTTTTATGTTTTAACCAAATTATGCTCACCCCTAGTCTTTCCCTTCCTTTCCCTAACTTTTCCTTCAAACCAAACATAACCTTAACGACAACTGCTCCATTACACATGTATAAATATCCTTGCATATGAGACCATACATGTAACATGAAACCTGTCACACACTAAATGGAAGTGCAGGACAAGTGTAGCATATCCAGGTTCATTTAGGTGGTATTCTTCGATATGAACACTTCAAATATTTGCATGTAGTTTATGAGTTTGGAATTATTCTGCATCACTGAAAACCTGTTCTTAAACATGTGATTTTTAGAATCGACTTGAAGTCATTCCAATTGCAAAATAGAATGTTCCCCAATTTTGGTTTGCAATTTTTTTTGGTAAGTGTTTTTGAAAACGGTCCTAATATCACTCTTTTTTGGGGTGTTGGACAACATGGTTGGTTTTATTTTTGAAATAAAAAATAACTGCCATATCAATAAAAATAATATAATTTTGCTGATGTGGTTGTTGATTTTATTTTTTAAAAACAAAATCAACCATGTTGTTGAACACTCCCTTTGTTAATCTATTGCTGATGTATGGGCTGTTTAGTTTTGTTTCCGTTTATAAAAAAAGGGTTTTGTAAGAATTTTTCATAGAAAATTGGGATAAAACGTATTTTATTACTTTGAGACAGTTAAACTCCACATAAGCCAAACAATAAAAATTAAAATGGAAATGTCAAAAATGAATTTTCCTCCAATGATGGCTCTCACATAACCAAAGAAAAATGTTCTATTGACAAGCGACTTCATCAAACAAAATTTCATAGGGAGGAAATGCCTATTTGTCATTATACTAGCACCAATTTTCTGATAAACGGTAATGAAACCAAACACCATGTAAAACCTTCTTGTCAAGATGAGAACAAATCCATGTTGAAGAGAATAATCATGATTTTTCTTATTCTTACAACCCACTAAAATCAAAATCACAATGTGGGGCCTTAGTATCATTTAAATCATGCCATAGATGTATAGGAATGGCAACGGGGTGGGGGTGGGGGTGGGGACGGGGAGCCTTTCCCCATCCTTGTCCCTGCGAAAATCTCCATCCCCACAATATTATACCCTCCCCATCTCCACTTCCTATGATTTTTTATAATGTCAACCATTTTGTTTTTGTTTTTTACTTTAGTTAAAAAAATAAAATAATTGAAAATTACAATCTCATTAAAAAAGATTCAAACGTATTCAACCATATTTTTAAAAATATTAGTATATAGACATATGTATACATATATACATATATAAACATATGCTTACATATATACATATATATTAGTGGGGATCCCATGGGATGGGGATCGGGGTCCCGGTAGGGCGAGGAGTCTCTGCCCTGTCCCCACCAATGGGGATGAAAATTTCCCCATCCCCATCCCTGCTCCATTTGGGATGGATCCCCACGGAGATCGGGGAAATGGGGAAAATTGCCATCCCTAAATGCATACAGGTGCCAAGTGACTGGTTGTAGCGGAAACTTAAGATTAAATCCCACCTACACAATCTTACGTAGATCGGTTGGTTGCATACAACCAAATCAGCAGCAAGGTCATTTCACTACCCTTATTTTGTACAACATTTATAGTTTTCTAAACATCTAGTACAATACCTTTCCATATAAATGAACACAAACAATTAATGAATTGGAAAGCTGTTATATTAATCCATTCAGTTAGGGCTATGAATGTACTAGATGTTGGTCCAACTTGGTCCAGTCCAATATGAATCCATTACAAATGGATCATGTCCTATTCAATCCAATAAATATTTTAGATGTCATTTTGATCTAATTCAATGTTTTATTGGACCGTTCAACTTGTTCAAATTGGTTTTAATTCAGATTGCATCCAACCCAAGCTACTCCATTGACACTCCTACAATCTTTTGCCAATGAACCATGTATTGGTTCAATTCTATCTTATCCAATATAAATCCACTATCAAATGGACCAGATCCAATCCAATCCAATAAGTATTTTGGACCATTAAGTTTGGATCGGTCTAATTCGATGTCTTTTTGGATAGTCCAATCCAGTCAAATTGGTTTTGATTTGAATGGGGTACAGCCCAAATCTGGACCATTGACATCCCTACATTCAGTGTTGAGCCCTGAATGGAAAAATATCACATACTCCAATTTTCTTGGCATGTTGCATTTTGAGCGCTACAAAATCGGGGAAGAGTTAGAAGACCAGATATATGTTTCCACCAATGTTTCAAATCGTCATTGACTCGGACAGTCAGACCATTCAAACCAAAATTCGTTAAGGCGATCGGTTTCGTTTTACCCCAAATCTAGTCTTTCGTAAAAAACCGTTGAATTAGTCAATGAACCATTGACCCAGACGGTTTGATTGTTGAATCGTTCGACCCGAAGAACGATTTGTGGTTTAGAAAAAGAATGAAAAGAGAAGAAGTGATGAACTCTCAGATATGAGATCTATTGGAGAGAGAGATCAGTTGAGGGATGTGTGAGACAGTGAGAGAGATCTGGGAGAGCAGGCTAGAGATCTAAGAGGTCTGGGAGAGTAGGCTAGAGATCTGAGATCTATTGGAGTCTAGATGATAGGTCTGAGAGAGAGAGAGAGAGAGAGAGAGAGAGAGAGAAATGAGGCTGAGAGAAATCTCAGATCTACTTTCATCACTGTTGTTGTATTTCACCATCACCATCACCGTTGCCGTCGTTGTCACCGCTGTAGCCTGCAAGTGACCTCCTCCTCCTCTTCCTTCTTCTTCTTCTTCTTCTTCTTCTTCTTCTTCTTCTTCTTCTTCTTTTCTCTCTTCTAAACTCTCTCAGCCATCGGCAGCTTCTCACATCTCTCTCATTCTCAAACACTTAGACATTTTTTCTCTTGTATGTATATGCATCTTACCCTAATATTCCAATATAATGGGTAATATGACATATCAGCAGTTACAATATTTAAACCATTTGAACTGTTTGACTCGGATGATTGAACCACTGACTTGGAAACCGATGGCCAGAACGGTTCCATTTCCGGATCGGTTTTTAAAACCTTGGTTTCCATAATAAAATGTTTTATTCCATGAATTAAATAAATCTTCATTTTCCAATTTCCAATGGTAACATTGACATGATATTGGTAGTTAAGAGTTCTAATCTTATATCTCATTTGCCTCATCTCCTTGTTTTTTTTTTCCAAAATCAAGACAATGGCAATTTCCCTTGTTGCTCTTGGGAGTTGAGGCTAGTCTCCCAACACCCCCTTTTGTGAGAGTATTTGGGGTTTCCTCTTGATGTTCTCCTTTCTAAATGATTTAACCCTTTGAATAAGATTCACTTATATATAAAAGAAGAAGAAAAAGAAGAGGGAAATTGTGTAAAAAATGCTTCCAATTCATTGAAGGGATCATACTTTTAAGATGGAAATCGTGTCTAAGATGTACAACTATAGATCATGTTGGAAGGTGTGTTGGTAGCAGATATAGACTTGTGTGTGTGTACATGCACGCTTTTGCCCATGATTCGGAGTAATGATAAACAATTGCGTATCATGCATTTCAAAGGGGTGATACATATAATACATTCAAGAAGTTTTGTCAAGCTTTTGAATGTGAATATATTTGGAAAGGGTATTAGCCAAGTTTGTGCCTGTATGCTTTGCCGGGGTGAAAAATGAGTATCCTATTTAATGAATTAAACTGAAGCTAGTAGGGTTACAGGGTTGATAATTCCTAACCCAACACTCTGAACTGGACTTGGGCCTAGGTTAAACCCCTTATCCTAGGTGCAAGCTTGGTACAGTCTTGCAAAGTTGCACTTATCCCTTTATACTTTATAGGTGTTATTTGATCATGCATTTCATGCACAGTTTGCCTATTTTAACAAATTATCATGGTTTGAAAAAATTATTATCTAGTACTAGTAGTAGTAGAGAGGATATTATTTATAAATAATTATATACAATCAAATCCATTAAAATAAATAATTTTTTTTTATATAGAAATTATATTTCCCTGTATAAATCATGCTATTTTAAAGGTAAGTTGTAGATTAGTACCCATCGTATCGTTATTAGTCCGTTATCCGTCGTTATTAGTCCGTCAATTATCTATGTCACACGACAAGAATTACTTGGTCTTCTTTGGTAACAATGACAGTCTAAAACCCCTTTTGTTATGGATTGGATAACTGAAAAAATGGATTACAATGACGACAGTCTAAATCATCACTCTTCTCCGGTGACGTTTTTTCGTGTAGTTTCTCTGATGGGAAGCATATTGGTTCTTCACCATAGAAAAGAATAAGGTGGCGGTTTAAAATAGACCGCGGTCCGGAAAAGCAAAAACATTCACGCGAGTATATTGGGCGGCGGCCTTTCCGTCGTTTATAACATTGAACCGGAATTGAACCGGCCTGAACCCCATTCAGCCATTCTATTCGATTGATACTCTTCCTGCATTGTTCTCCTTCAATAGCAGAACACCGAAAGGAAAGCTCTCCTTACTATGTGGATTCTGCTCCTTCGACAGAGGATTTCTCTTCACACGTCTTTCTCCCTTGCTTCCCTCTTCTCTCACTCTCTCGTCCGAGTCGTTCTCCCTCTCTGTATCTCTCGAAATCATGGAGAGAAACCCTAACTCTTTTTCTTTGCAGGGTTTGCAATTGGGGTTTCGATGGTTTTTCACATGGTTCTCCCCTGCTTCATCTTCCAAAATCTCAGTTATTGTTTTATTAGGGTTTCTGGTTGGGGCTGTACCCTTTTCTTTGTAGTTCTTCCACTTCACCACTCTCGATTAGTGTTTTAAGTTTTCTGATTCGGTTTTCAATCACTTTGATTCTGTGGCCTAATTAAGCTTGTGATTTGGCGTTTCAGGGAGTATGTTTTGAATAGGAAAAAGTTGACGTTGTGAAATGTTGGCCGTTTGGTAGTGGAGACGGAGAGCAGGAGAAGGCAGCAGAAGAGATAGAGAAGCTGCTTCCGCAATTAACGTATCGGAAATTTCGTTGGTGGTTAGAAGATCTGGAGGTGATAAGATCTCAAGAAGTTGTCGGTGACAACACGAAGATTATAGATGAAACCGGGAAAACAGTTTCCGGCGTTGAAAGTGGCCTTTTGTCCCAAAATCTGGGTTTTGGCGCTGGAAATATGGATTTGCATGGTCTTATCCTTTATATTATAATCTTTTAAAGCATAATGTAGTTTCTATTGGTAGCATGAAAAGCTTTTAGTAATTTGCTGATATTCCCATGCTCATGATTTTAACATCTACTTGGATATGTCCACGTTATGGTGCCTTCGATTTTATTTCTGTAATCTTAAGTTTAACCATGTGCATGTGGTCAATTCTGTAGTTTTATATTTATAGGTATAACCAAGTAATAGATTTAAGTTTGTTCCTTACGTCCAAATTCCAGGTTCATCAAGAAGCATCTCCCATTGTTCTAAGAGTTATTCAATGCCTAGTTCCAATCCTTCAACATGCCGAGGTAATTTCTTTATTACTTGTGCATAAGCTAAAGTTTCCTTTTTTTTTCTTGGAGTTCTATTAACATTCTCATTGTTATTGATTCTGAACAGGGGCTTAACAAATCACTCATAGAAAATAGTGCCATCACTCTTGGGAGGCTTGCATGGGTCTGTCCAGAACTTGTATCACCTCATATGGAGAATTTCTTGCAATCATGGTGTACTGCTTTATCCATGTATGAGATGTTTCTTTTCTTCTTTATAGTCCTTTCCAGTAGCTGTAACTGGTTTTGATTGCATTATCTGTCAGCAAAAATAAGCATACAGTAAATTATCCAGGAGTAGTTTGTGATTTCAGTGTTTCCAAGTACCATATGAACCCATGTACTTATTAGCTAGGTTGATCTTTTAGATATTTACTGAGGACATTAGTGGTTGTATTTGGTTTCAACCATTCTTATGACAATTTAAATCTCATCCTTAGGATCATGGATCCTCCAAGCGGAAGCATATGGGGGTTTCATTTCCCTCGAGGGTTAATGTCTTTAAATTGGAGGTATTGAGTAATAATGTAAACATCTTCCATAGTTTCAGTTCAGGAAATTTTGTTTTCCCTTATTTATCAAAAAAAATGTTTTCCCTTCAGTTGCTCCTAGATTTGAGTGTTTGATATCTTCAGCGTGGCTTGGGTTTTCCTTCAACAGATGCATTTTTTTTTTTTATAGTTGCATTGCTCTTCTTTTAGGGAAAGGGGCAAGTTGCTATTGTTATCTCCCATTTGGCTATAATTTTAGGCATTTAATGAAAGGCTGTAAATAAAAAATCCTTCACTGTTTCTTAATGAACTAGAAAGGACAGAATCAGAAATAAACTTATTTAAAGGAGCCTAATAGTAGCTTCAATAGGTGATAAAATGAGGAAACATAGGACAAGATGGTTTGGTCATGTCTAGATGACTCTATGTACAACATGAGTAGAAGAATGATCTGTTACAAGTTTATGGTTCTAGAAGAGCAGAGGGTAGACCAAAGAGGACATGGTTTGAAGTAGTAGCAAATGGTTTAATGGCCCAGAATTTAGCAATGGATATGGTACTGAATAGAGTGGAAAGATGGAACAGGATTCATATAGTCGGTCCCATGTAGTTGGGGCTGTGACTCTTGGATGTTTCTTGGCCTCCCAATTGGTGCTGAAGCTTATTTAGTTTCTACATGGCAACCTTTATCAGTAAGTTTTGAAAGAGCTGGTTGGAAGTGCAAGCATCTTTCCTTGGTATCAAAGTTACTGTTATAAAGAATGTATTGACAATAATGCCCACCATTACCTATCTCTGCTTAAAGTTCTAGCCTCCATGGATGAGACGACCAGAAAAGATTCAGTTCTGTAATGTCAAATAAAAGAGAAGGTAAGATTCGATAGGGTTTAGAAGAATTAGGGCTGAGTAAAGCTATTATGGGAAAGTGGCTTTGGAAGTTTGGGTCGAAATGGGAAGCTTTATGTATAAGGTTTAGGCAAGGTTCAAAGTATCGGAAACGCTATGCATATCGGAAAGGCAAATTTAAGAGATGTATCAGGATACACCTTGGATACGCATGGATATGGACGAAAAATTAAGATACGCATGGAAACACATGCAAGTGCTATAAATACTCTATCATAAATAAACATTAATATCACTAAATATAAGACATAAATGAGCTATTTATTCATAAAAATAACATGTTTTAGTGGGTTTTATGAAAAAGAACATATTATAATCAATAAACGGGAAGTCAGGAACAGAAACATACTATCTAATTATGGACATTATAGATCAAGTAATTATTTTGCATGTTTTATTCTAATTTTTTAAAAACTAAATAATTATTTATTTTTATTCAAATAATTATTTTGCATGTTTTATTCTAAAAATTAAATTAAAATTAAGAAAAGTAAATATGTAACAAAAAATTGAATGGATTTATGGATATAATAGATGAAATAATTATTTTGCATATTTTATTCTAAAAATTAAAAAATAAATATCAATGTTTTAAAACATAGAGGCGTTCCACTACCTAGAGGCGTGAAGCATAGTTCAGAATGCAAGAGGCGTAAGCCTCTCGAACACAAGGAGGTGAAAGCTTCCTTAAGAGGAGGAAGGAGGAAGGAGGAAGGGGGGATTTCATTTTTTTTCTTTATCTTTAATAAAAATCTTTTATAATAAGAACAATAAAAATGCATAACAGTTGTTGAAAGGGGGGTCTTGTCGAAGCGGAGGCGAGCGAGCGAAACTTTTTGAAAAACTTATTGAATCTTGCAAATTTATATATGTCTTGGCAAATTTTTACAAGATTTGAGTCTTTAGAAAGGTTAAAAAGCTTTTTGAAGGGTTTGGGAAAGAAAGAGGGCTTCTGTAATGGGTTTAGAAGCCCTCTTTCGAACGGAGTTTTATTTTCGATTCTGCCACAATAAAATTGTATTGTATCGGTCGATACGCTACCGATACAATACGGTGCCAAAACGCACCGATACTCAACGATACGAGCACGATACGGCCACGATACGGCATCAATACAACGAATAGATACGACACATTCAATTTGGTACCATGTACCGTGCCAAAAACTTGCCGGAACGATACGTGACGAAATTTTTAACCGTGGGTATAGGTTGACCTGATTTGAATGGGACTCTAGGACTCATGCATGCAGTTGTGTGTTTCATGTTTTGAAAGTTATAATAAGCTTTTATTTTCCATTAATTGAATGAACTATTTTATATTTGCGGATTTTCTATATTTAGATTTGTTCAAGACTTTATTGTCTTAATTCCAAGGATATTTCTGTTAGCAAACACTTCCAGATTGGAAATGAACAGGTATTTTTCTGCCTTACATTTAATTGAGAAATTGAAGAATGCATTAATATGTTGATCTGATTGTCTGCCTCAAAGAATGCATTAATTTGTTTATGGCAAAATCCAATTTCCATGAGAGTAGAGGCCATTGCTTGGCTTTTATCTCTTCTCATTTCTTGATTATGAATCATTTAGAACAGTAGGAGGGCTTCAGGATATCAAGCCTAGATTTTTTGTGTAATACAACCATGAGGAGAACATTGGAGATTTCTTTGTACATGGTAAATTAGCAATGGGTCCTTCCTTGTTGGTCCAGTACAGACCAGTTCTAGGAAACAAAGAAACAAAGAAAGTTAAAGGAATACCGACCGAAAAAAACGAAACAAGAAAAAAGCAAAAGCACTTTTCCCTCTAAAGGAGCAAAACAAATATATATATATATACAACCCTACAACCCCATAAAGCAGAAACTCAATCCAGACCCAAATAACCCTATAACTCCATCTGAACCTCAAACCCAAAATAAGAACTCTTACCAGCATAACTGCCATTATAGGTGCAAGAAATCCCACCTATAGGGAAACAAAACCCAAACCCAACTATCACCAGCACATAAAAAATGCGACCAGGCTAGAGCCAAACATGATCCACTCACAACTCAAAACAGAAAATTGAACTTCCTAGCAGACGTTCCACACCTTTAATATCCCAAGGAGATTTATATATCCATGGAGACCTCAGGAATCTCAGGTTCTCTCAATTCACAGTTTTTACCCCCATCCATATTAGCAAATATAAACACAGTATATAAATCTCAACCCCTTGGCATCGAAAATACTTCTTACGAGTGATGCAGCCCTCAAGGGGTGGTGGAAATTGTTTTATCTCACGTGTTTGCTCCAAGGTCTTCTCTATTTGCATCAGGATAAAGGGAATTATCCTTAGGAACCTCATATATGGTGCCCTCTTGGCGGTTCTCCCACTTTTTCCTATCATTACCTTCTCCTGCGCACCTTGAAAGCTTTCCCTCTATATCATTTCCCAAGGTCACAGTCCAATAGGAGTACCAAGTATTAGAGAGTTCTTAGAAATCTCTATAACTCATTCCTCCTCTAAACTAAATTATGAAAATCACTTCCATTTTCAAAATGAGTCATCTCCCATTAAACTAAGATTACATACATATTGTTGCCATTAGTTTAATTTGAATTTTGATATTTTTTGTAGTAATAGTGATCAATAAGGAATATATTGAATATTCATTTTCCTTTATTAGTCCTCCACCAAATTTGGGCATTAAAAGAAAAGTCTTTAAAATTTACTTTTTAGTTTGTGATCAGTGTTCGAATATAAGTGATGCATCGCTAGTATGCCCTTATGGATGCTATAGAATATTTTGAACTATTATTGATATTCTAATTAATTGTTTAGAATTCAGCCCATGTAAATTTTAGTTACTATTCCTATCTTTATAGTTAAAATACTTGAATATAATTCTAATATTTATATGTTTTGATTTGCAGGTTCAATCCATATGTTAAGTGGATTTGCATTGGAAGATGTGTTGCATTATTAGAGAATTTGATTATTTTTTAAAGTTCTTGTACTATTTATATGTCAATTGGATATTGTATTTCAACAATGTCTTTCAGATATTTTAATATATAATCTTTGAATTAATAGATTTCATTTTAAATTGATTTTTATCAAATGGTTTTTCTGTATTAAACAGGTATGAAAATGCAAAATCAACAAACAATTTAGGTACCACAAAAATGCTGCAATTAAGCGGGTATATGAACTGTTTTTGAAAAAAGTAGGTATATGCCGGCAGTCATGTCCACCGGCTTAGCTATCAACATGACGAAAAAAATGTTAGAACTAACCTGGTATAAATAAAAATTAAAAAAATCTAAGGCCCCAAACAACACGTAAGGCGGCGGTCATATAGCATATAAGCCAGCGGTTTAGCCTGCCACCTGAGAACACGAGGGAGTTTGACAGAAATCTAAGGTGGCAGTCTTTTGGTATCTAAGCCGGCAGTCAAAATTGTCGCCTAATTAATGCTAAGCCAACGGCTTGGTGTGACCGCCGCTTCAGAGAAATTTAAATCGTTTTCGACTGGACATCTAAGGCAGTGGTCTTTTTGCATCTAAGCTAGCGGTCCTAATCTAGGGCGGTAGTTGATAAGGGGGCGGACGCCTGACCACCACCTTAGATCTAAGGCGGCGGTTAGTGGTGTCCAATCTCAATGAAAAGGGATTTAAACGTGACTATTTTGGCTATTTCAAAAATATGCTTCTCTCGCCTATTCAAAACTTAAAGGGTTTTTTCATCCTTTCACATGTTATCTAGTGTTGGTTAACAATTTTAGACTAAACTGGCAGTTTTCGAGAGTTCAAGTACTATAGTGGCATGTTTTGATGTTTGGGTACTAAAGTTAAGACTTTCCTCAAAGTACAGATACTAATATGTAATTTGCTCTTTTTTTAATATCATACTTTATTTTTCTATATTTCTATGTTTAATATTTAATGATACATAACATAAGTCAATACCCTCTTGCTGGTGGGTTCATCAGAGTTTTAGAAATCTTAGGCTTTTACTTGGTTTGTGAAAGAAAGGTAAGGAAAGGAAGGGAAATGTAAGAAAGCTATACAAGGGTTTGTAGGGATTTTTCTATGACTTAATTTGGTAAGAGTACAAATACAAATATGTATAGTGTACATACATACAAAATATAAGGTTTTGCACGCTACATACATTTTACTTTCTTTCCCTTCCTTTTCTTTCAAACCAAATACAGTCTTAATGTCAAACACTAAAAACCAAGCAAAAACATCTAGGCAAAAGAAAAGAAAAGAAAGAGAATAAATGAGTAATGAATTTGAGGCTCAGTTTGGAAAGAGTTGCAAATATAAATATGTAGAGTGCAAATTTTGCAATCTTCTCAAACTGAGTCTTTGCTTTGGTCGGGAAGAATGTAAATATAAATATGTTCAGTGCAAAACCTTGCATATATTTTTAAACATTACATTTTTAAGATAAATAAGATAAGATAAATTTCATTAATAGAAAACTAATTAATGTAGTTACAAGCTTTCCATAAAGAGGCATGAACTGCGTCCTCTCCTAATAGCAAAAAGAAAGACAAAAGATAAAAAACAAATTCAGCCTACAATTAAACTTTACATTTGTACTGAAGATATTTTGTATTTATACTCCTTCCAAACTGAGCCTTAGAAAAATAGGCTTGTAACAAAAATTTGGTTATAAATAAAAGGCAGCACCGCACAAAACATAAAAGTTGAAGGTGTTAATTAATTTACCTCCTTAATTAACAGATGCTGCATCCTGCATGAGAAGGTGAGGATTGGTTGCAAAGTAGAGGTGAATTAGCGGGCAAATCTCCTTTGGCAAATGGCTCACTGATCACTATGACTATGGTAGGGTCATGGTGAAGTTGCCAGCTGCCAAAGGAAGATTTACCGGCTAACCAATGCACCTGCACACTTACTACCCTATCTCACTGACCCACCCTCACTCAATAGACTAGCTAGGCTCCATGGCTATTTATTTAAACCTCCTGCTTTGCTCAAATGAATAGCATATTCAACGGCACATCCTCTCTTTTCTATCATTTGTGTGGGGTTGTGGGCCCTCGTTTTCAATCCATCAGACCTTTGGCTACCTCTTCTTACATGGGCTGTCTTTTAAAAAATTAACTAGAAATGAAACCCATTTTATATTTTATCATATTAAATAAAAATAAGTGAAAACAAGTATAATAAATGAGAATTATTGTCATTGATTATAAAGATGAAAATACAGAAAAAAAAATAAAAGATTTAGGCCTACTAACCAGCTGGGTCACCGGCCATCTCTCTCCCTCCCCCTCTCTCTTTCTCAATTGGTGATCCATGAAATTGTGTTTGTTATTAATTATTGATTGGCTAAAAACTTCAGATTGTGAATTATTTCTATTTTGGAGTCAATTGAGTG